ACACATATGGTCCTACATGAAGTTAGGAGCCCAGACGTCAACGCCAGCTGCGAGAACCGAGAGCCAAATAAAGAACCCAGCCTCAGGCATATTGTTACAGCAACACAAAGAGGTTTATTTACTGTTTGTGTTTTCAGAGACGGGGTCTATATGCACCCAAAGCTGGTTTGGGACTCTCTATGTACCTGAAGATGACCTTGAGCGTCTGATCCTCCTGCCTCTACCTACACCCATGACTCTAACACCCGGTTTATGTAGAACTGAGGATTGAATCCGAACCCGGGTCCTCGCACATGTTAAGTAACTGGAGATCTTTTTACACCTAAACAAACAACAGGGAACTCTGAGGATAGGGTGACTCTGAGGATAGGGTGGGGAGAGTCTAAAGACCTTAGGAGGAGCAGAGCACTGCGGACTGCTGCTCACAAAGTAAGACAAGGCTGTGTTACTCCCAAATCACAGCAGCCAAGACCACCTGCAGCACAAAACCGGCACAGATCTTTCTTGGACCCATCAGTTCCCTGCCATGGAGCAGGAAGGGACCTATGAGTTCCCATCCCTCACTGAGGATTGCCAGGCCGTTGGCGGGTCGCTGTGGGATGGCGAAACGTTCTTTTCAGTGGTGTAGCCACTGTTGAGAATCCTATGTTCTGTAAGTCATCCTTCACTTGGGCTACTGTAAAAAACCCTAGTGAACCTCACTGGGTCCACTAGTTGGGGAGTGGGAACAGATCAGCAGAAGGAGAGGGGGGACCAGAGAGGGTAATGCGGGTGGGTATAAGCAAAATACATGATCTGCATATATGGAAGTGTATAATGAAACTCATTATTATGTATAGTTAATATGTGCTAATAAACACACACACACAAAGACCCAAACAGGACAATGGACACAGCTAAGTGTGATGGCTCAAGTCTGGATATCGAGGACAACAGCCATGAGTCAGAAGCTGCCCAGGCCATTAGGAAACTTTGTCTTTCAAAACCAGCAGGAGCAGCAGGAGCAGCAGGAGCAGCAACAGGAGCAGTAGGAGGAGCAAGAGGA